CCGCGCCGAGGATGCGGGGAGGGGGGCGCGCACTGTCTCTCCCACCCCTTACCCACCTCGGCCTCCCCGCGCGCCGGCCCTAGGTCTCCCTAGAGCGCCCTCTCGGCTGGGGGCTGGAAGCAGAGGGGCGCGCCGCAGATGTGGGGCCCCGAATCCGGGGTCAAAGGGCAGCTTGGCGCCCCCTTCTCCTGCGGGGCGGGAGTGGGGGGGAAGTGGCGGAATTCCAGCTAAACCCGGTTTTAGAAGGACTCCAGGCCGGGTCCTGAGCAGCGTGGACGCTGGGGTCCGAAATTCCCTTTCCAACCCCCTGGGGGTGTGTGGGTGGGTGACCGAAGTCGCGAACACCAGCGACACTTTTTTTTTAAACAAAACTTTATTGGTAATAGTTTTCAAATATGTTTACAACAGCACACTGTTCAAGAGGAAGTCGCGTCCTTCGCAGCACACAGGTTGAATCGCCCCCGCGCCCACCCGGGGCCCCACCCCAGGCCTGAGAGCTCCCCCTAGGATAGGGAGGAGTTATGAGAGGGACAAATATGGGGATGAATGGGGTGGCTCTCCACTTTTCTATTAAGAGAAAAAAAAGCACAAATGGGGGGGAGGGGTGATGGACAGCTGACAGCTAAGCAGAGGAGGAGCGCCCGGGATGGTGGGGGCGGAGGCTGCTGGGTGAATAAAACAGGCAGCCCCTCCCCAGCAACCTGGCCTTGAACCTGGGCCAGGAGGGAAGGGGGGGCTTTGCATCTTTTTGGAGGGGGAAGCTGCCTTCCCTCCTGAGTTGAGAGGAGGCTGGGCATTAAAATCTAGCTGAGACTAAAATTAAGGAGTTGGGGGGAGTGCTGCTGGGAGGAAAGATCCTGGGCCTGCGGCTCCCCCTGTCTTTTTGGGGGATGGCTGCTCTTTGGCAGGGAGAGGGGCAGCTGCTTTGTCTGGGTCCTGAAGCCCAAGGGTGAAGAAAGGTCTATTGGGGCAGGAATGGGTAAGGGCTTCCTAAAGGGGCTGAGACCCTTCCAGGCTTGGCAGGGGACCCCTGGGGGGCAGGGGGCAGGGGAGATTAGCAGCTTGGGGCAGAGGTTCCAACCCCAGCTCCTTCCTTTACAAAGTCAGTTTGCTTCCCAGCCTTGTTAAAATGGATTTGGGGGAGGGGAGCATGAGAGGGATGGGGGTAGAGGAAGGAGGGAGGGAGGCACTGGTGGAACTTAAATAAGATTGTAAATTGTTTTTAAAAAAAAAATTCTAGCAAGCAGCCCACTGAACACATCACTAAAATCTCTCCTTCCCAGGCGGGATTGCTCTGAAGGGAAGGTTGGACTTTCATTCATTCACCCTTAGCGAGTGGTGCCTATGGTTTGGGGTGGGCTGGAGTTAAGTGTGGGCCCCTCTTTCCACACCCTGTCCCTGGATACACCAGCAAGACCTGGTCTCACTGGAACTGAGAAACTCGTTTAAAACAGGCAGAGGTGGGCTAGGGTGAGGGGCCGTGGGGGTAGAGGAAGGCAGAAGCGGTGGGGGGCAGGAGGGCAAAGGGGGTGAGGGGGAGCAGCTGGTGTTTCTGTCCCTCCGAATATCTGGGCTTCCTGCTCCCCCTACCCTGGAGGGTGGGGTGGGGGTGAAATTAGATGCAAGGAACTCTGGGGCCCTCTGGCTGTTCAATCCAACCCTCCCACCCTCCCACCCCCGACGGAAAAAAAAAAAAAAAGAATGAAAACCCATGGGGGCACAGGCACACCCCTAAAACTCAGAAAACTCCTTGCCACACTTCTCATTGATGGAGACTCGGATCTCTTCCTCCTCATAGTCGTCAAAGTTACTCGTATCCCCAGGGCCTTTAAACTTTGGTATGAAGGGAGCTTCCACCTAGAGAGGGTCAAGAACCACTCAGGCCTCAGCAGTCAACATAATCACTGTTACAACAATAAATGCGAATGGCCTAACATTCATGGGACAACTTACTCTGACCCAGACCTGAGTTTAGCAATAGGGTATGGACTCACCTTAAAAACCCAAGAATCTTCTTATAGCCAACTCACCAAGGGGGGAATTACTTTCCAGAGAGGGGTGTCTCCCTGCTCAAGATCACAGATCGGCCCAATGACTCCATAATTCTATTTCTAGACATCCATGGCTCTAAGCTGCCTCATCTAGACTGACCCAGAGCCTGTGGCTGATTTTCAAATTCTTCTTCGCTTTCCATCTCTCCATTGGCAGCCCTCCCTGGCCCTGAGCATCCCCCTAGAACCCTCAGCGCCCCTGGGGAGGGGAGGGGGCCCACCTTCCTCTGGTAGATGGCGATCCAGTCAGTCGTGGCAAACCACTTGTGGTTCTTGATGTCATTGACCCCGTTCTTGAGGTTCCCGAAGCGCTTGGTGAGGTCCACCTGCAGGAGGTTCCGCAGCAGATCTTTCAGGTCAGAGCTGAAGTGGGACGGGAATCGCACCTGGAGAGGGGAACACAGGGTGGGGAACTGGTCTGCAGCTTGGGGAGCCCAGAACAGTGCCTTGCCCATCCAACAGTCCTATTGGGCGGAGGACCCCAAACTTGAGTGTGCACTGGAATCTCGCTAAATCCCACTGGAGGGGCCGGCCCGGTGGCGTAGTGGTTAAGTTCAGCACGCTCTGCTTCAGTGGCCTGCGGTTCGCAGGTTCGAATCCCAGGCCCGGAGCTGCACTACTCGTCACCCATTCTGTGGTGGTGTCCCACATACAAAATAGAGGAAGACCGGCACAAATGTTAGCTCAGGGACAATCTTCCTCAAGTAAAAAAAGAGGAGGATTGGCAACAGATGTTGCCAAGAGGAGATGCCAAGAGGGAGAATCTTCCTCAGCAAAAAAAAAAAAAAAAAAAAAGTCTCACTGGAGTTTCTGATTCTGGAGGTCTAGGTGGGGCCTGAGAACCTGCATTTCTAGCCAGTTCCCAGGCCATGCTGATGCTGCTGGAGAGGGGCCACTTTGAGAACCTCTGCTCTAAGGTAAGTGCTGTGATGGTTTCCATTTTAGAGAAGGAGAAACTGAAGCTTGGCAGGGTTAAAGGGCTTGCCCAAGGTCACGCAGAGGAGCGGGACAGGGTGGGTCCAGCTTGGGTCTGCTGGACTCCAGAACTTTCACTCCTAGCCACTGCTTCCTAAGGTGGCTCTGCTGGGGTCTGGGGACTTCTGAAATATTCATGCTTCCGTTTCTCTCTCTCTCTCTGCATAGCTAAGGCTCTTCTGTTCTTTAAGGCTCAGTTCCACACTTGCAGAGACTTTCCCCAAACGTCTGAGCCCACAGCCTTGTGTGCAAGTAGTCGCTAGATTTACAGCCACAAGAACCCACTTCCAACAGTGCTCTGCCTCTTAACAAGCTGTGTGACCTTGGCCACGGCCCTTAACGTCTCTGGGCCTGTGCCTGCCTCTCTGGCATGGGGCAGAAATCCCAGGGTTGCACGAGGAAGATAATGCTGCTGAGGGTTGTGGGAACTGTAAAAGGCAACAAAGAAGGGAGTTATGTTCATCTTCTCCTCTTCTCTCTTGGAACCTTCTAGGGCTTTTTTTCCCCACTTGGGCCATTTTCTTGGCAATTTCTCTTCTGCCTGGTGGCAGTCACCTCATCTTGCCCTTTTTAGTGACCCCACTTTACAGTTGGTGATTTCTCTCCGCCTCTCTGAAGGGCAGAAGGCTGGTTCCCTGGTCCTCAGATGGGTAAGATGAGGCTCGGAGGGGTGCAGGCACTTGCCCAAGGCTTCAAAGCCAAGGTGGGGAGCCAGCCCGGTGGCACACCGGTTAAGTGCGCGAGCTCCGCTGTGGTGGCCCAGGGTACGCAGGTTTGGATGCCGGGCGCGCATCAACACACAGCTCATCAAGCCATGCTGTGGCGGCGTCCATATAAAGTAGAGGAAAATGGACACGGATGTTAGCCCAGGGCCAGTCTTCCTCACCAAAAAAAAAAAAAAAAAAGCCCATGGGGGCCAAGCTGGGATGTGGAGCCAGGCCGGCCCACCAGGCTGAGCGGGGAGCTGCTCCCACCATTTCCTGGACCCAGGGGAGGGACGATTGGATCCTCTGGTGCAGTGGGTGAGCAGAGGTGGAGTTCCAGTCTCTCTCAGAACCTTGGACGGTGCTGCGGTGTGACCTCGGAGCTGACACGTCCCCTCTGTGCCCCTCGGGGTGCAGGGTATGACAGGGCGGGCATCAGGGCGGTGAGCACTCAGCTGGGGAGATGCGCCACCCCTGCCCTGAGCCCTCAGGGTGAGGAGGGCTGCACTTGGGACAGGAGGCATGGCCTGCACACCCTCAGTGACTCCCCAGGGCTCTGGGGCGGCACCTGGAAACCTGACACATTCGCTTTTCCGGCGCAAAACTTGTGAAAACTCACACCGGGGGGACGACTGGAGGCGAGAAGAGCCTCCTGTTGGGCAGGGCAGGAGTCTGGGTGAGGCCTGGGGTTCTGGAAGCTCTTGAGATTTTGGCACGGGGGTCCAGCATTAGGCAGCGAGGCTGTGCAAGGTGTTGGCCTCTGTGAGTGTGGCCGGTACGCCCGGCTTCACC